ATATCCTTTGTTAGTTGTATTCCTAGGTATTTTATTCTCTTTGTAGCAATTGTGAATGGGAGTTTGCTCTTGATTTGGTTCTCTGTTTGTCTGTTACTGGTATATAGGAATGCTTGTGATTTTTGCACATTGATTTTGTATCCTGAGACTTTGCTGAAGTTGCTTATTAGTTTCAGGAGATTTTGGGCTGAGACGATGGTGTCTTCTAAATATGCAATCATGTTATCTGCAAATAAAGACAATTGACTTCCTGCTTTCCTAATTGAATACACTTAATGTCTTTTTCTTGCCTGATTGCTCTGGCTAGAATTTCCAATACTATATTGAATAGGAGTGGTGAGAGAGGGCATCCTTGTCTAGTGCCTGATTTCAAAGGGAATTCTTTCAGCTTCTGCCCTTTCAGTATATTGCCTGTAGGTTTGTCATAAATAGTTTTTATTATTTGATGATACGTTCTGTCAATACCTAGTTTGTTGAGGGTTTTTAGCATAAAATCTGTTGAATTTTGTCAAAGGACTTCTCTACATCAATTGAGATAATCAGGTGTTTTTTGTCCTTGGTTCTGTTTATGTGATGGATTACATTTATATAGACTTGCGTATGTTGAACCAGCCTTGCATCCCTAGGATGAAGCCTACGTGATTGTGAGGAATAGCTTTTTGATGTGCTGTTGCATTTGCTTTGCCAGTATTTTATTGAAGATTTTTGCACCAATGTTCATCATGGATATTGGCCTGAAATTTTCTTTTTTAGTTGAGTCTCTGCCTGGTTTTGGTATTATTTGATGTTGGTCTGATAGAATGAGTTAGGGAGGATTCCCTCTTTTTGTATTGTTTGATATAGTTTCAGAAGGAACAGAACCAGCTCCTCTTTGTATGTCTTACAGAATTCGGCTGTGAACCCATCTGGACCTGGACTCTTTTTGGTTGGTAGGCTATCAACTTCAGCCCTTGTTATTGCTCTATTCAGGGTTTCAACTTCCTCCTGGTGTAGTCTTGGTAGAGTACAAGTGTCTAGGAATTTATCCATTTCTTCCTGGTTTACTGGTTTATGTGCATAGAGCTGTTTGCAGTAATCTCTGATGGCAGTTTGTATTTCTGTGAGATCAGTGGTGATATCCCCTTTATCTTTTTTTATTGCATCTATTTGATTCTGCTCTCTTTTCTTTTTTATTAGTCCAGCGAGCAGTCTGTCAATTTTGTTGATCTTCTCAAAAAATCAGCCCCTGGATTTACTGAGTTTTTGAAGGTTTTTTTTTTTTCTGTCTCTATTCTGTTCAACTCTGATCTTAGTTATTTCTTGTCTTCTGCTAGCTTTTGAGTTTATTATTATTCTGCCTCCTCTAACTCATTCAATTTTGATGACAGGGTGTCACTTTTAAATCTTTCCTTATTTCTCATGTGGGCATTTATTGCTATAAATTTCCCTCTCGACACTGCTTTAAAGGTGTCCCAGAGATTCTGGTAAGTCTTCATTCTGATTGGTTTTGAAGAACATCTTTATTTCTGCCTTCATTTCATTGTTTATCCAATCGACTCTCAGAAGCAGGTTGTTCAGTTTCCAAGTGGTTGTGTGGATTTGAGTGAGTTTCTTAACTCTGAGTTCTAATCTAATTGTGCTGTTTTCTGAAGACTGTTTGTTATGATGTCCCTTCTTTTGCATTTGCTGAGAAGTGATTTGCTTCCAATTATGTGGTCAATTTTAGAGTAAATGTGATGTGGTGCTCGGAAAAATGTATATTCTGTGGATGTGGGGTTAAGTGTTCTCTATATGTCTATTAGGTCTGTTTTGGCCAGCTCTGCATTCAGGTCCTGGATGTGTTAATGTTCTGTGTCATTGATCTAATGTTGACAGTGGAATGTTGAAGTCTCCCACTATTATTGTGTGGGAGTCTAAATCTCATTTTAGGTCGTTAAGAACTTGATTTATGTATCTGGGTGCTCCTCTGTTGGGTGTATATGGTATTAGGATAGTTAGCTCTTCTTGTTGGATTGATCCTTTTAGCATTATGTAATGCCCTTCTTTGTCTCTTTTGGTCTTTGTTGGTTTAAATTCCATTTTATCACAGACTAGGATTGTAAACCCTGCTTTTTTTTGTTCTCCATTTGCCTAGTAAATTTTCTTCCATCCCTTTAATTTGAGTGTGTGTGTGTCTTTGAATGTGAGATGGATTTCCTCAATACAGCACACTGATGGGTCTTGACTTTTTATCCAGTTTGCCAGTCTGTGTCTTTTAATGGGGGCATTTAGGCTGTTTATATTCAATGTTAATATTGTTATGTGTGAATTTCATCCTGCCATTTTGTTACTGACTGGTTCTCTTGCCTGTTAGTTGATGCATTTTTGGTCTTTGCCATTTGGTGTGCTTTTGCAGTGGCTGATACTTGTTCCTTTGTGCGCTTAGTGTTTCTTTCAGGAGCTGTTGTAGGGCAAGCCTGGTGGTGACAAAATCTGTCAGTAATTGCTTGTCCATAAAGGATTTTATTTCTCCTGCACTTATATATGAGATTCTGGGTTGAAAGTTCTTTTCTTTAAGGTTGTTGAATATTGGCCCCCACTCTTTTCTGGCTTGTAGGGTTTCTGCTGAGAGATCTGCGGTGAGTCTGATTGGCTTCCCTCTGTGGGTGACCTGACCTGTCTCTCTGGCTGCCCTTAGCATTTTTTCCTTCATTTCAACCCTAGTGAACCTGACCATTATGTGCCTTGGGGTTGCTCTTCTTGAGTAATATCTTTGTGGAGCTCTCTGTATTTCTTGGATTTGAATGTTGGCCTGCCTTGCTAGGCTTGGGAAATTCTCTTGGATAATATCCTGGAGCGTGTTTTCCAGCTTGGATTGATTCTCCCCATCATATTCAGATACACCTATCAAGCACAGATTAGGTCTTTTCACATAATCTCATATTTCTTGGAGGGCTTGTTCATTTCTTTTCACTCTTTTTTCTCTTGTCTTGCCTTCTCTTATTTCATTGAGTTCATCTTCAATCTCTGATATCCTTTTTTCTGCTCGATCGATTCAGCTGTTAAAACTTGCGTTGGCTTCATGTAGTTGTCGTGCTGTATTTTTCCACACCATCAAGTGATTTGCGTTCTTCTCTAAGCTGGTTATTCTAGTTAGCATTTCATCTAACCTTTTTTCAAGGTTTTTGGTTTCCTTGCATTGAATTAGAATGTGTTCCTTTAGCTCAGAAAAGTTTATTATTATCCACCTTTGGAAGTCTGTTTCTGTCAATTCATTGCACTCTTTCTTGGTCATGTTGAGTCATGTTGTTGAGGAGTTGTGATCCTTTGAAGGAGAAGGAGTGTTCTGGTGTTTGATGGTTTCATATTTTTTGTGCTGGTTTTTTCCCCATCATCTTCGTGGATTTACCTGGCTGTGATCTCAGGGAGCTGCTCAATGAGGTTGCTTGTCTGCCTGTGGAGGTACTATTGGGTTTCTAAGGAGTCCTTCAGGTTACTAGGTAAGCTCCCTGTGTCCTTTTTGTTTACACTGGGAGGTTAGGCCTGCCTCTTCCACTGACCTGGAAGCGCTGCTGGGTGGTCAAGAACACCGTCCCATTGCTATGTAGGCTTCCCGTGTCTTTTGCTAACACGTGAAGCCCAGTCCCACCTCTTTAATGGTGGGTTGTGTCTTTTCTCCACAGGGCTGGATCATTCAGGGTTCAGCTCAAACTGAAGCACTGGCTGGGTAACCCACTAGAGTTAGTGCTGCAGCCCTCTGGGGTTTGTAGGGGAGGGTAGGGACCTGCCCAGTGGCACCATCTGTCTCCTCGCTTTTAGCTCCGTCTCTCTCTGGCCAGGCGGAGGGGGCCATAGCTTGGTCTGCAGGCTCTCCCAGCCGGCTTATAGGCTTATGTGTTTGCTTAGATCTGTGCGCCAATCCAGGACACCGTCCTGGATTATTATTCAACTCTGGGCTTCTAATTCCCAGTGCTTGACTGGCAAAGATCCCCTGTTCTGTGTATTGCTGAGGCTTTGGGAGAAGCGCAGTATCTGGACCGGAGTGCCTGAGGGGAAGCACTATCTGGGTGAAGCGGTATCCCTCCCAGCCTCGGTCTGCCCTACCTGGGCTTTGCTCACCGTCTGACCAGACCTGTTGACAGGCGCCTCATACATCGGTGGGAGCTAGGGGATCTCTGGATTTCTGCATCTCTCTTGCTGGGTGTTGTGCACCCTAGTTGTGTCTGTTCGGCCATCTTGACTCCCGCTATCGATTATGGAGAGTTAACACTGTCAGCCATTACTTCCATTATAAAGTAAAAGTAATGTCTCCTTGAACGTTTTAAACTTAACAGGTCAAAATCTGGACACTTTGTTTCCACCTCTGAACTTAATTCCTCCGTCAGTTTCCCATCACAGTAAATGCCACCTTGATCCAGCTAGAAACCCAGGAAGTCATCCTGAACTCTTTCCACATCATTGCTCTCCACATTCACGCTGTCAGTAGCTTTTCCAAAGATTTTCTAGGATTCTCTCTTGGGCCCGTCAACAGTCTCCTAATCCTTGCAAGCACAGCAATCTCTCTACCCATCAAAACACACCATAAGGAGAGTAGCAAAGACAAACCACAAAAAGCAAACACTAAAAACTCAAAAGATTTGCTACCCACTTAAAATTGCTATAAGTTTAGAACGGTGCTGCCCAATAGAAATAATGCAAACCACATATGTAATTTTAAGTTTTCTCATAGTCATATTTAAAAATGTTAACACAATTACAGAAAATAATTTTGATAATATATTGTTACTTAACAGTGTGTTTGATAATATACTGTTATCAGAATTTTATCATTTCAAGAGAAAATAAAAAATTAATAATGAGGACTTTATACTTTTTCGTACAGTCTTCAAAATTTAGTTTTTATGTTACTTTTACAAAACATCTCAATTTAGACTAGTTAGATTTCAAGTGTGTATATGCACACGTATGAATCAATGAGAAAAAGACATGAACAAAAATGAGTACATTCTGCCTTCTTTTACACTGTGTTCACTGTTACTCACTTTAAAGTGTTTTTTCTGGGATCAGACTGAGACACTGCGTCGACGACAGGGAGACATTGCTTCATTGCTCTAGAAGGAATAAAAATGAATGCAAATCTTAATTATTCCTAGTCATGACTTTATTTGTTACTTACAGATTAAACAGACTGGCCACATTATCCACTGAAGTTTCATATTTAATTTTATTATACTTTAATGATGATTGATGTTTGTAAGATTTTAATTACCCAAGGTACTTTTGACTCTGATAGCCAATGTATTCTTCTTAGGAAAAATGGTGCTTCTGTATCTCAGAATCTTCTCTATCAGCATGGCAGCAACCGAAAAATTAGTGGACAAAAGGGAAAAAAACTTATGAAGGTATACAAATATACTTATTTTCTAAAGTCACAAGAAAGAAACTAAGCAACGAAGTTTAACTTCTAGTTCACTGCAGACAGCGTCCTTGATAAAGAATATTTTTTTATCGCTTAAAAACATTCACCTTAAGTGCATTGTTTTAAATCTACCTAAGAGTTTTGTCCTTTCGAAAGAATAGTTTTGGCAGTAATTTTACTGTGATTTTCATGAGAGTTCTGAAAAGGTTATTCATTTCATAAATGATACTATTAGACTTCCTGGAGTTTTTTGTTCATAGAATTCTTGATAAGCTTCCTCAGAGAAATGAGGGGATAAAGGAAATAATTACTGGGCCTCAAGAATTAAATTTTTGATAGTCTGAGGTGGGAAATTACCTCATTCTGAAGGAGACAGTTTAATATTTGGGCCCTTTCAAGGCTGATAGCTCATTAATAGTAAGGAAAAGGGCTCTGAAAGATCATGGGAGTCCTGCCACTCAGGTGTCCCATGATCCTGATCATAATATCTGCAATGGATTTTCTCAAAATGGGTAGTATAGTTAAAAAAAAATAAAAGTCATAACATCACCTTAAGATATGATAAATCAACACAAACCCTGGCAATGTTAACAGCAACAGAAACAGAACCAAGAGGAGTGAGATCACTGTATGGTTGGGATGTTTGTGCCCTGCAAGCCTCATGTTGAAATGTAATCCCCAGTGCTGGAGGTGGGGACTGGTGAGAGGTGTTTGGATCATGGAGGAAGATCCCTCATCCTCTCAGGGTAATGAGTGAGTTCACGTGAGAGCTCACGTGAGGTTGTTTACAAAAATCTCTGACCTCCTCCCTGCATCTTGCTCCCTCTCTTGCCATGTGGTACACCTGCTTTTCCCTTTGCCTTCCTCCATGACTGTAAGCTTCCTGAGGCTCTCACCAGAAGCCACGCAGATGCTGGTGCCATGCTTGTACAACGTGTAGAACTGTAAGCCAGTTAAACCTGCTTTCTGTGCAAATTATCCAGCCTCAAATATTCCTTTAAAGCAAGGCAAACGGACTAATACAGCCACCATATGACGTTATAAAGTAATTATTGATTTTCTTAATATCACTTAGGAGGGTGCAACTCTACCAACATGAACAACCAAGGAAGGAGAAATGACATAGGGGCCAAGTCATGGTGATCACGCAGCAAGCCCATGAGTGATGTTCCAAGTCACTCCCAGCCCCTCATGTAATCATCAAGGTGGATGCTACAATGAAAACCTTCCTCAAAGGTAAGATGATATTTGGCCCCAGAAGCTGGAGTGCTCTGGGTGAACCATCCAGGTTTTGCTGCCAAGGGAAAGGAAGTTGAGGGATTTGGGAGCGTAGAGAATACCATCTATGGGAAGAGAGGAAATGATGATGACATTCCTTTCACTGGAGACCTGTCTCCACCTTCCCCCACCTTCCAGCAGCCTGGAGACAGTAGCTGCACGTCATGGTGATTTCACTTGCTCTGAGTATTGCAAAAGTTTTCATAGTTTCAAGAAGCTTACTTTCCCTTCAGCACTTTTTAAAACCTACTTATCGACTGTATGGACTATTTATTTCATGTTGTATGTGATTATGCCCAGGAAGATGGTCTTACTGAGCTTTGGAATTGCTATGCCTGTTCCTTGAGCTATAATATATAGCTCAGGTATTTTTGGGATATTGCATTCAAATCCAAAATGTGAGCTGAAAGAAAAAAAGTAAGCACATTGCTTGAAATTGAGTCTTAGAACAATGTTTCTTGAATTTTGTTTCCTATTTCTCAGTTTTCCTTTAGGCAATTAAAAAGCATCAGAAGATATACATTTAAACTACGTTGTAAGGAGCATGTAATTTGAATCTAAAAACGCCTAAATTATCTATTAGTAAACAGTTTGTACTCCAAAAACTATTTTGTTTAATTGAAAGTGCTCAAAAGGCAACCGTTTGTAAATATTCAAATTCAGTGACTTAATCTGCCTCTATTTAACTATTCTGTCCTGGGATGCAATCGAAAGTAACAAAGCTAATAAGTAAACATAATAGACTACCTTCTCACTGGATTAATACAGATTAGTAAATTAATCCTCCTTGATTAACACAGAAAGTCTTAGAAATATAAGCAAAATGTCTTACTATTTTTCTTCTTGATAGTAAGGATATTTTAAATGATATACTATATAAGATCTTATTATATTGGGTTTCCCTCTCAATTATTTTGAGAAATTGTACATTTATAGGAAAGTTGTAAGAGTAATGACAATTAATGTCTATATACCAATTATCCATATTCATCAATTATTAGCACTTTACCATATTTTTCTCATTTCTCGTTTGTGACTTACCTAAGAGTCAGTTTCTATCTTGACACTGCACTACTAAATATTTCAGCCTTTACTTCAAAACAACAGAAACATTTTCCTACATAAAGATAATTCAGTTATTCTAGTCAATAAAATTAACATTGATACAACTCTGTCATTTAATACTTAGCCTGTATTTAAATTTTTCGATAATGTTCTTTAACCAACTGTTCATTTTTTTAAAAAATTATAAAGAATCACACATTGAATTTAGTTGTTCACCTACCTTATTTTATTAGACAAGTTCATTTGCTTTTAATTTTTATTCTGTTTTCTAAACAATCCTGAGAGAGAATTGCAGAGATTAACTAGAAATGTCTCAGCATTTATCTCTAAAGAGCAAAGTTCTTCCCTTACTGAAACAGTATGATTTCAAAAAATCTGTGTGTGGCTTTTTGTCTTACTATATTTATCATAAAAATGTATTGCTTCTTTTTATTTAAAAAAATTGCGAAGACAGAATAGGAAAAGAAAGGGAAGCTCATTACCATCACCTGGTGAAAAACTGTGACTGTTCTGTTACATTTCATTTTAGTCTTACCTTCATGTAACAGGATCTCTCTAGACAGAATGACACAAAGCCAGACACTGCTGGACCAGTGAGACCAAGATTCAGGCCAACGAGTCCAAAATATCAACATCCAGATTCTGTGGAACCCAAAAGCTGCCTAGAATCGTGGTGGTAAATTGACAATTAAATCTTTCCATTCTATCATTCTTCAGAGTTTCAAGGCAACTCTTGGTTGATACAATTGTAGCTTCAGCCAGACTAATCTGAATTCCAGAATTTTCCACCTTGGCATCTAATGGAAGACAGTGAAATGAGCAAGGGAGCCTGAGATGGGGTGAGAGTCAGACAGGAATTTTCTCAACTGTATCATCGCAGATTAGCTGAATTTCTAAGTGCCTAGAGGACGTTATCATTGAGAATGCACTTTGTATTTCCCCAAGGGAAAGTGTCCTCAAACAGAACCATTCAGAACAAATTTCAAAGGAAACGAGGATATCATGTTACACGTATATTAACCTGAAAAGGCACTACAGAGACTGTCAGAACTACCTGATTGAATAAAGAGTGTAGGGTTTTTTTTTTTTTTTTTTTTTCCAGCCAAAACTATGGGAAGCCAGACACAGACATCTGAGATTAGAATATTGCTCCAGTGTGTAAGTTTATTACTAACTGGTATGAGTTTTCTAGACATGATTGATAAAAGTGTGACAGTTTTTTTAAATGAGTTAAGAGTCTTTATGGTCTCCTGTAACCACAATGACAAAATGTAAAATGAATATAATTTATTAACTTAAGAGTCATGCCCCCTTCCAAACTATGGAAACAGGACCGCTCTTTGAAATTCTCTAGAATGGTTTTACATGACTACTCTTTGGATGGCTGTTGAAAGGAACAATTCATTATTGTATGCATATATAATAAAAAAAGATTAACTTCTTTTTGTAAACATTACACTCAAGATCAAGTTTATGCTTTTATGATAGCATTAAAAGTAATTGGTATTCTCTGTTTTTCCTGTTTTATTTATTTAAAAAAGGAAATAGCCATTTGTTAAAAATAAGTTTGGGTAGTTCTAACAGCTCATGTGAAAATGACAAGCCATGTTTTTTACATTGTTTTACTTAAAAAATCCACTTGTAGCATAATAATTTAATTGGTTCATTTGAAATGCAAATATAGAAATTGTTACTATAATCTAGCCTAAAAGAACACATGTCAAGAAGTAATTTTAAAACTTTCAGAGAGTTTCTATAAAACTCTTCCATGAGTGTAATAACATCATAAATTAAAATTTCATGTCATTTTTACATACATGTGTATGCACGAAGTACAAATGCTGAGTCTTACCTGATTATCAATATCAGAAAATAATTTTAGAAATATATTCTTAGTATGAATTGTTATCCTAGCCTCTCCCCGACACATACACAATGCTAAAATATTGCAGATCTGCTATGTGAACGATAGTAGAAAATAAGTGTGTATGTTATCTTTTCTAATAAGGTACCTCCTTCACTTTACATAAAGGACTTTCTCAAGCTATTTTCAAATTATTCTCAATTTTTTAAAATAAAATGTTTTTCTGAATACTGGACTCTCCATGTTCAGTGTTGATCAGACAATTAGACCTTTTGAAATGACACAGAAACCTGTATCTTCTAAAGGGACAAATTACTACTTAAAAAGAGAATATACAATAGTTAGTACTCCAAGGTGCCCATTGTTAAATTCATGGCAAAGGCATGAACTTTGAAATCCCTATGTTTTCAGTTGCAAAAGACTACACCTGCTCTATTACTGAAAAAATTATGCTCTTCAAAAACTGCAACTAAAACTCAGCCATGTGTACCCATCACCCAGTGTCAACAACAGAAATGACCACTGTGAGTATAAATGTTGTTTGGATTCAACCATTTCTCAACAAACAGCTCTGTGATTCTCCCAAGCATCTCTAGAGATTGAAAGCCTGCTGAACTCAGAGTCAGAAACAATGGGTTCAAGTCTAGGTGATGCCACTTCTCAGTACCTTGAGGTTTTTTTCTAGCACTGTGGTTGCCTATTTCTGTTTTGAAAGGTCAAACACTCCACACCAACTCAGGAAGTCCACAGAGTCTGAGAAGGGAGCAAGGATTTCTCATCTTGTTACTTACTTGCTATGGACTGAACGTTTGAGTACCCCAGAATTAGTATGTTGATGTTCTAATTGTCAACATGATAGTATTTGGAGGTGGAGTCTTTGGGAGGTAATTAGGTCATGAGAATGGAGCCAATATGAATGGAATTGGTTCCCTTAGTAGAAGAAACACAAAGAAATTTTCTCTCTCCCTCCCCCCTCCCTCTGTACCTTGTGAAGACACAGGGAGAAGGTAGCCATCTTGAAACCAAGACGAGGGACCTCTGCAAGAATTCCACCATACTGATACCGTTATCTCAGACTTCCATCTTCCAGAACTGTGAGAAATAAATAAGTACACATTGGTTGTTTAATCCACCCAGTATATGATACTCTGGGATAGCAGCCTGAACTGACTAAACCATTACTCAATTCTCAAATCCTTGTGGTTCTCATATGGAATTTATTTCTTCAATGTGAGAAACATTCTGCCTACATCCTCTTGTTTCTGTCTCCATTCACTGTCATCACTTTACTTCTTCCTTGCCTCACTCCCTACCCAAGTCTGTCATTAATTCTCTGGACAGGCATACCCTTGTTTCGTTGTTTGGTAAATGCTCACCTCCTTTTAGGAAAATTCAGTCTGAGGTCTCACATCTTAATACTCTTTGGAAATTTAGAATAATTGAGTTTTAACATTTTCCCCTTTATTTTTGAGACTCAGTGGTCATTTTTCCTCACACAGTCATTTCATGTTTACCAGCATGGGGGAAACTAATATTTCTACCAAGTTAGCAGTGTGCGCCATCAGCATCAACTCTTCCAAACACATCATGACTTCACCTTCTAGTTTTCATTGCCTTTCAGCAAACAACATTCTTTATACCCAGAAAGAAGAAGTACAATCTTGCAAGTATGAAGAATTCAGAGTCCCTGAAATATGACCAAATCTTCCTTGCATTTTTCAAGGTTTATCAAGAATAACTAAAGCTTGCTGTGAGAATTTGACATCTTTGAATTATTTCTCTTCTTTCAATAAAGACTGATTCAGTTACTCACAGAATTTTTATTTTCATTTTTAAATACGCTACAGTGGAATTCCAAATGAGGAATTCAGGCAGAGTCCATAAAATAATTGATATCTTCCCTTTCCTACAGCAGGAAAAATACCGAGAAAAAGAAAATGTAATTCAGCCTCAAATGTATCCTCTATCCCACCCTATAAGAAAAGTCTAAGTATGGGCCGGAGGCGGTGGCTCACGCCTGTAATCCCAGCACTTTGGGAGGCCGAGGTGGGTGGATCACGAGGTCAAGAGATCGAGACCATCCTGGTCAACATGGTGAAACCCCGTCTCTACTAAAAATA